ATATTATTATAATCATATAATTTATCATATATGTTTTTAAATAATTTTAATATGTAATAGAAATATATACACATATACATACACATATGTAATGTTAATCCTTTTCTCATAATAATTTTTAATTTTATTTAAAAAATTAATTTTTATAATTGAGAAAAAAAATTAAAGAAAAACGAAAAAAATAAAACTGGCTATCTATATATATAAAATTAGTACTTTTAAGTACATTTCCAAATAAAAATATTTTTTCTCTGTTGTTCGAAAACAAACAAATATATTTTGACACTTGGCAAATAAATTCAAAAGTATTACAAAAGATTAAATACATAAATTATTATTTTATAACAGATTGGTTATAATTAATATTGGTTATAAAGAAGTGAATTTCATATTACCCTTATATAGTACTCTTTAATTATATTTTCATATTAATAATCATATCGATGAAATCTTCCTCGCTTTTATTAGGGTCACATCGTATCATTGTTTGTGTTCCACGATGCGTCACTGCTTTTAGAATTACTGTAATGGATTTACTTATTTCTGATCCAATATATTCTTCATCATCCTAAGATTTTATATTTTATTACTTTATAATTTTAAGATTTATTTATTAAAATGAATAAAGATTTTAATAAAAACAAGAACTATTTATACGATACTATAGTATTTCTTATATCTTCATTTTTAATATAATAAATATGAATATAATGTATTATATACCTCTATAAGACTACTTTCTATTTCCTCTGATTCAATATTTTCTTCAAATGATGACATAATATTGTAAGTTATATATATGTTAATAAATAAATAGAATTATTTCATATGAAAATTAATTTATATACATAACAATTGAATGATCGAAAATACAATTCCATAGTTTGCTATGTTGAAAACCGAAAGTAAGAAATAAGCAAAATTAATTTAGGTAAAACTTTCAGTTTTATTAATATAATTTATTGTATTGAAAAATATTAAGAAATTAATATAAATTTACAATGATTTCTATTTGTAATGTTAATGTTATTATTTTTTTAATATATCTTTTTTCATTTGAATTTAATTATTATCTATGAATAAATCAATATTTTACATAATAATATACTATATCTAAAGAAATTTTTAAAAATCTAATTGAAAATTTGAAAGATTTTATATTTTATAATTAATAAAATTATTTTTATTAGTATATTTTTTATTTATGAATGTTTTATCATTATATGTAAAATATTTTTTTTCAAATTAAAAACAAAAATAATTGTTAATTTAATAATTATGATAAACTTATTGATGAATTAAATTCTCATTTTCTTGAAATGTATTCATAATTTTAAGTAATTTTTTTATTATTGAAATATGTAATTTTTAAAACTACAAGTAGAATATATTGTTTTTTGGTCACAAAAATATATATTTTTTTTTCATAAGACAAATGAAATATCACTTTTTATAATAAACAAATAATGTGGAAGAATATATATTACAATAAAAGACAGTTGCATATTGAATGGAATATGTATGATGAAAGTTTAGATTTATTGATATCAAACTTTATAAGAAATGAAAATTTTAATTATATCTGCAGAATTATAAGATATTTTGGCAAAATATAAAATAAATAACTATATATATATATTCAAACAATGTACTTTATAAATCCAATTAATTGCATTATTTCATTTTACTAATTCTCGATAGTTTTTATAAGTATCGGATCTGATATGATCATTAAGGTTTCAAACTCGAAAAAATCTTCGATTGAAATATACATAATTTTTTGTAGATGTAATCTTTTTTTTAATTGAAAAAATAAAAATATGTATATATTTTTTTTATAACTTATTTATTACAAAATCATTACATTATTTATTATATAATCAATAAAATTTATAAATCGATTATTCTCATCGCAGAAAATTTTATTGCTATTTTTTCGATATTATTTGTAATATTATGATAATGAAATTTATTCACAAAAATAAAAACATATATAAATAATATTGAAATTTTTAAAATATTATCATTAAAATTTACTAGATTTACTAGAAAAAAAATTATATAAAAATATTTCTAAAATATTAAATTTATTATTTTAATATAATTAAATATTAATTAAATTAAATAAATAAAATTAAATTAAATATTAAAATATAAAATCAAAGAAATTTCTAAAATATATGATATGTATGTAGATGTTATGTATTTTTATAATGAATTATAATATTTTATACTGAATTTTTACTATTTTTTAAAAAAAATAGAAAAAAATGGAATATTATTGCAAAAATATTTAAGTTTTTAAGTTATTAGAAAA